CATAGGGGATGAGGTCAGTTATCCAATCAGACCTCACTTCTAATCATTATTATATGATTCGTCGCTGATACTCCGCCAGGGTATGCCGATAGCAAAGACGGGTGGGTTCATTCCATTATCACCAATTTAGAAAAAAAAATTGATAAAGCAGAGTAATACAGTTGACCTTTTGAGACAATCTCTAAATGATTTTGGACTAACGTATGTACTTATACCTATTGTAGTACATAAGGATCAGATATGTGAAAATATTTTTTTCATACTAAATTGAATATGATTGCGTTAATTTCTGCTTTATTTCTTGGTGACAATGGTTCAGTTTCCTGTGTCGGTATATACTTTACGAATAAACCTGGGTATTGGTGATCCTAAAACACTTTCCTCCGATACTCCTAATTAATATAGTATTAAAATGTCGATCAGAAATTCTGAAACAACCTACATTTCTCGAAACTCGAGTGTGAAAAAAATATCTCCACTGTTAATTAAATGATACCATTTGGACAAAAAAGGCAACCCCTGAGGGATGTTGGTATTTTTTCGTCAAGGGTTGAACAAAAAATACCGACAAAGTGATTCCGGGCAGAACATATCTGGGACTAGGTTTTTTTAAAATGCGCACGGTATCTGCTCGGCGCGAAAAATTGATTTAATACTTTTATAATTAAAATTGAAAATTGCAAATCATAGCGCTTAGAAATCTGTCTATATCCCGAGTTTTTATTCATTTGTCCTTAAAAATATTATTTGTAAAGCATGTTAATTTAGGCGAAAAATATTTCCTATTATTCTATATTTTTTTTTATTTTAGATGAAACGCAGAGATCTTCCTATACAGCCGACTTAAATATTTTTATGTAAAAATCAATGTTTGTATTTATCTCCTACTTTGTATTTGGATGGAGATCGATATATCCCATGCAATTTGGAAAGTCATGAGCAAAAGCTTGTTAGGAAGGGACGTGAGTTGTTAGAACTGTAACAAGTCAGGTTGACCTCCACGCAGTTTTCCCTCGAAATCATTGTGATAAAGTCGTAGTTAATTTGTCCCGATCATGGTGTATCATTCCATTAGCAACCGTAAAATAAAGAGGGTAAGAATTAATTTCGACTTTTCGTTGTTGACTAACCGCTTATGATACATTCGGCAATTGATTTCTTGAGAACCAGATGATCCATGTAACTTCGTCAGCGTCAGTTTCATTGATAGTGTACTCATATTGCCATATATGTATGTATGTATGTATATCTATACATATAAATAAAATTGGAATGTCTATTTGTAATGTTGAAATAACCGTCTTTTACTACATGCTTATGAATGTAATACGGCACATACACCAAAATATCATTTTTTACAATTTCTGTCTGTCTGTCTGTTTGTTCCGGCTAATCTCTGAAATGGCTGGACCGATTATGATGGGACTTTTTTTCGCTGGTAGCTGATGCAATAAGGAGTAACTTAGGCTACTTTTATTTTAGAAAAATAAAGTTAAACTCCAAGCGAACGAAGTCGCGAGAACAGCTAGTATATACATATAATTCTCATGTTAGTGTTAGTTGCCACTTCTCTTTCTTTCTTCTTTCTGCGAAAAGGTTTGACTGATTTTGATGAAATCTTATATGTGAGTATACATAGGTAGGTCTGAGGTTGTTATCTATTTTTTATGCCCCTAACTAATAAAGTTAGACCACCTCGAGCTTTTTTTTTAATTTTTGTACTGAATCTTTTTTCTTTTTTAAGATGTGGCATTAAAAATACCGATTTTTAGCCTTCTACGACCAACCCCTATTTTTCAATGCCGATATCAATTTATATTGTTAAACAATTATAGAGTATGTAGTATGTATGTAGTAGTATGGAGTACCTATTTATATTCGTTGTCTAGTAATACAAGCTTTTTTATATATATATGATTATTAGGGATATTATTTAAACATTTTTTTTATTTTTTAAGTAGATTTTAGTTATTTAGTACCGGTACGACGGGATTGTCTACGTCAAATTTTGTGAACAAAAAATCCATAAAGCAAACATGTAGCAGGCAAGAGCTTATTATTAGTATAACATATTTAAACATGTATCGTTGATTTCCTTGTATGTATTATTTTATTTAAACATGTATAGTTGATTTCCTTGTATGTATTATTTTAGTACTCAAAAAACATTTCAATGCTAGCGGTGGAATAAAAAGAAACGTGATAATGTAGTAGTGTAAGTTGATGACTGTAAATAAACTTGCGCAGTTCATATCTAATCTGTGTTGTGTGAACTTAATTAGTATTTACGTTTATGTATCACTAGCTGTACCCACGACTTTGTCTGCGTGGAATTTAACTTTATTTTTCTAAAATATAAGTAGCCTAAGTTACTCATTATTACATCAGCTACCTGTCAAATAAAAGTCCCGTCAAAATCGGTTCAGCCATTTCAGAGATTAGACAACAATTTAAAAAAATGTTATTTTGGTGTATGTACCGTATTTATATGCATGTAGTAAAAAATGATTATTTCAATATTAGAAACAGACACTCCAATTCTATTTATATGTATAGATAGTAGGCAAGTAAAAACAGCGCCATCTAGTACCAAACCAAGGCATAACTTACAGATACGTATAAAGACATTTAATACAATTACGTTTTTTACAGCCCAAAACTTACCAGATGGAAGCAGATTGTGAGGAGCTGTAGGATAGGAGAAGGAGGATTCCCAAGAAGGACAACAAAGAGATACCATCATGAAAGCCACGTTCACTCTGTCAAGAGTGTAGGACTGAAGAAGTTATTTTTTTTAATATACACATAGAAAAACACATTATGTGGGAATCGAACTTGCAACAGGTAAGGTGTGTTCTTCTGCTAATCCACCGAGGCCGTCAGGTAGTATATGTATGTCATACAGAAAAACACCTAGAATAATACATACACTCATGCAAATAAATACTATACACAATAATACACATATTTGTACTGTGTGGGAATCGAACCTGGGACTGGGTGTAAGGCGGTGTGATAAACCACTAGACCGCCGAGGTCTTCGTTAATAATACTTGAATTTATTTTTTAATATACGCATAATATAATAATAGATATTGTGAAGACGATTTTGTACATAAAATAAAAACTGCGCTGACAAATTTGTAACGTCCGGGATCGAACCTGCGACTATAGGAGGGTGTGTCTATAGATAGACATTTACTATGTTTGTTACGTACTAACAAAGAATTTAAAATATTTATGTTTTGGTTGTACTTTGTTGGTACGTTTCGTAATTTGGATTTTTTTTTTATTTTCGTAACTTTCTTAGTAAGGATACCTATTCTTATGGGACAAAATTGGCAACCAAGGTTACGGACCACCTGAAGGAAAATGGTTCCTTTGTCTATACAAACTACACTACTAACATAAACAGGTGGTACAAAGAGAACCACGTCGACGACTTTGTATGAAGTCTTCCCTCTGGTCAATTTTAAAGGGACACTTTATACAAAGTATATACGCCTACTTCATGTACTTTAAATGAATACTTCTATTATGAAAGTCTACCCCCCTCCCCCGCCTCATATCTATAAAAACAAGAAATGTCTAATATTCAATGTTATGTCAGAACAACAAATACTGATATTAATTATTTCATTTCCATATTTTTAGAGAATGAAAAATTTCAGTTTTATTTCGTATTTTTAGAAATTTATAAAATGATAAGCTACCTTTTTAAGTTTTTATAAATTGACCCCTTAAACTTAGTTGTTAAGAGTTAACAGACCAGTCTGTATGAAATATATAGATTTCCCTATTTTTTTTATTACTCGACCTAAACCTAGAAAATGATAGTGAAGCTGCGATATGAGATTTACGAAGCATTTAAATTAGATTTTCACAACAGAACAGATACTAAGACGATGCTTAAAATAGAAAAAAAAATGCAGATGATAATATTGCGAGTATTTTAAGCATTAAAATATTAATACATAAACATAAATTAAATTAGAACATTCTAATTCTAATTACTCAATGTACTGTGCTTTCCATAAAACATAAAAACATTCCAAATTTTTTTACTAGATATTATTATAAAAAAAACAAAATATATGTGTCTACATATCTACTATTTCTACTACATAATAGCAAATTCGATTCCTCTGTAACTAAATTTTGAAATTGTCGGTAGATTTGGACTCGACTCTGTTATATACTACCTACTTACATGAACAAAGATATTTTAACTTAGGTACATTATGTATGGATTTGAAGTTTTTTGATAACTTCTCAATATTATCTAGGAACAATAAGATCGATATATGTAGTCTAATAAATTTAACTTGTCTTCTAGCAAATAAATTTGATACTACTCTACTCTAAATTTGATACTATCTACTTTTAAGGCAAAATTTGGAAGTTAACACAAAAATACCTAACCAAACAGGACAATTTTTGGTTCTATATTATAAAAATTGCACGTGGCTTAAAAAACAAAATAGTTAGTTAGTTAGTTAAAAACTAAACTAATAGCTTAAAAAACGTAAGTATATCTTGAATGTCCTTGACTTTCTGTCATGAAACAACAAGACACTATTTTCATGTAAGTTGTACAGATGTCTAAATTGCTACATGTACAATTAAATTTTAGTAACGTGAAAAATACATCTCGACAACCTAACGACAAGAAAACGCGAGCTTTCCTCTGCGATATTAAATATGTTATCAATAACGACATTATTTCGAACCTGCACGTTATCTACGTAACGCAAAGCCGTTATTACGTACTAGCAAAACATAAAACGGTTACAACGTTTACATGGGGGGTAAACAAATAAAAAACGCATGCTATTCTACGGTTTTCGTGCGAATTTGTGCAAAATCCGGTCGCTAGGGGTGTCGGTTGTGATCGAACATAACCTCTCGGGCCGGCGCGTCACGTGCCCTTATGTAAGGGAGGCTCACGTCATGTCCACATCGCAGCCCACCCCTAGGCTGGCCACCGCTACCAAACCTACCTTGTCGTCCGACGATCTCCGCGACGTGCTCCGAAGACGGGACGGGCACGCACTCAGTCATGTTTTGGGATTTCTTCGCACGGTCGTCGGGCGGCGGCGCAAATCCGAGCGGGCTAGCCAGCGGGTTAGCAGTCGGCAGACTCTCTCCTAAACTCAGCATGCTCAGCTCGAGCGCCAGCTGGAACGCCCGCTGGTCCTCCATCAGGCTGCCGCCTCCTCCCAAGTCCCCGAACAGGCTCGAAGGCATTTCCACTTGTGAAGCTATTTTGTCGGCTACGAGAGGTTGCCCTCTCAGTCACTGGTATGAATTAGTCGATCGTTTTAAACGCCGCGATTTGTCATGTATCACACGTGTGGTGTTCGCGCGACGCGGCGGTGAACTGAGTGCCGGCCGGCGGGCGCACGCGCTCTGTGCTCGCGTGTTCGGCGTGGGGGGCGGGTGGCGGGGGGTTGTGCTCGGCGCGGGGTGTGCGAGGGGGCGCAGGGGGCGGCCGGCCGGGACCGGGGCACGCCGGGGTGACTGCATCGAGGGCGGGATGCGCCGCAGCTTCCGCCCGCCCTGTTCATCGTACGATGCCACCACGTTTCGTGCTTGACACCTACCGCAGGTAATTACTTGGACCATGCGTTCCAACTCGATGATGTGTGATGATGAGATATGGATGAGATTTAAATTAATGATCTTGGTCAATCGATTTCACTCAAATATCATCAATCTTCATTTGGTTTCTGATATAAGTAAATTAATTATAATGTACGGTAAGCAATTCATTACAGCTCTATCTGGTAAGACCTATATATGAAATGAGAGGAAATAATCACCCGAAATAACTGTACATACTAAGTACTGTACTAAGGTATATTAAATTCAATTGGATTGATAAGTACATAGATATATAATTATTTTTTTTTTAAACAACTATGATAGCAAACAAGCATCTGTTTATGATCCGTATCCTATGGACGCCTGAAACACCAAAAAAGTTTAATAATAATAATAACATTTATAATATAATATAATGTAATATCACAGGACTACTCACACAGCGCCATCTAGTCCCAAGCTAAGCAGAGCTTGTGTTATGGGTACTAGACAACTGATATAAATACATGCATACGTTTTTTTTTTAAATCATTACATTACACCTAGAAAACACCCAGACCGATACAAACAATCATACTCTTGAATACAAATGTTTGTACCGTACAAGGAATCGAACCCACGACCATCGGATAGTAAAGCGGTGTGCTAAACCACTAGACCACCGAGGCTGTCAATAATAATAGATTATTAAACTCACTCAGTTTGCTCCAGTATCGAAAGAAAGAATTTATTATTTATTAACAAAAATAATGGTAGTACATGATGTTAAAATAATGAGCGAAGTCGAATATAAATCTTAGAATACATTTCACATAAATCTACAGTTAAAAAATTAGTTCTAACACCTTACTACTATTATATACGTATTCTAGTCCTAATTTTAATTTTAATATTTCACAGAAACTCAACCTTAATACATAATTAACAGTTTAATTCAGTACAAGACCAGTTTTTTTAGTGTTCATTCATAAATATTGAAAATTTATGACCGCCCAGACAATTTATAGATGTAGTAAAGAAAATATATAATATAATATAATTCTATTTAATAATTTCATGCAATGGAATTTACCTGTCTGTATTGAATAATATTTTGGGAATATATATAATAATAATAATAATCTCGGGACAATTCACACAGCGCCATCTAGAGCCAAGTATAATAACTGATACATATACTTTTTTTACATAGATTTTTTTTTGTAAATACATACATATTATACATAGAAAACACCCAGACCGATACAATTCATACTCATGAATACAAATGTTTGTGTAGTGCGAGGAATAGAACCCGCGACCATCGGTCGCAAAGCGGTGTGCTAGACCGCTAGACCACCGAGATCGTCATATATTGAGGATATGTTAATTTAAATTTGGAAATTTTAATTATTTTATGTATATACATGTATGTACATACATACATACGTATATTTATATATATATATATACAACTGAGAAATGTGTCTATTGTGAACATGTTTTCTATTGTATGTCAGACCTGGCGAAGTGAAGAATATTCTTCACTTCTCCAGGTTCAGTTCAGAATTCCAGAATAAGAAGTGTACGCGGGAGGAAACTCGTCTGAAAGCACACTGTCCGAAACGACTTGTAGGTTCCAGCGTGTGGGGATAAATTCCCTGTCGATTTTGTGTGTGTGTGTGTGTACAGATTATATATATTGGTAACTATTGCCATAATCATAACGTGGACTTAGCTTCTTTGCCGCTGCTTGTATTTTAAAACCAATACATATATATAAAATTTAAGTGTCTGTTTGTAATATTGCAATAACCGTTTTTTACTACATGCATATGATTATAAATATGGTACATACACCAAAATAACATTATTCACAATTTCTGTCTGTCTGTCTGTTTGTTCCGGCTAATCTCTGAAATGGCTGAACCGATTTTGACAAGACTTTTTTTGGCAGGTATTTGATGTAATAAGGAGTAACTTAGGCTACTTTTATTTTATAAAAATAAAGTTAAATTCCACGCAGATGAATTCGCGGGAACGGCTAGTTGTAACTAATAATTATATCAACTCTTTTAACTGTGACACGACAGCTGGTAGCTACTTTGCCCTTAGGGTAAGTATGGCCGTTTAAAGAGGTAACGCTGCCAGTATCCTGGGTACGCTGCCTCGATGTGCCATGTTGGATTACTACAATTGTTTTTTTTATTGTTTATTACTATTTACCTTTTTATAATAAATATTATTTCAAAACCATCTCATCATAACAGATTAAAAAAAATAGTATTGTAATCGATCCATTCGTTTAGGATCTACTATGCCACATACAATTACACAGAAAACTTATATATCAACCCACTTTTTGTATCGCGGATTAAAAAAAATATATAAAATAAGCAAAATCATAAAAATTGAAATATTGTGAAATAATTTTGATGTTCATTTCAAACTAGATGACGCGGGTTTTTTATATATTGAAGGATATGACAAATAAATAAAAAGGTCGCGAGTCGCTTGGCGCCTGCCTAAATTGACCGGAAGTGAGGTCAGCTGTCCCCGGCCACATGAAACAGGCCCGTGTGACACGAGCCCGCGACCCCAGCTGATAATGTACGCCAGGCGTGGTCAACTTCATTAGAACCAAGATCTCCTGTTTACTATTGAAACCCTGTGAGATCTACTAATAGAGAAATAGAAATATTCTTTATTCAAACTTAGTATAAGCACTTATGAATAGTCACGTTTTTTATTCTACCACTCATTCGGAATGCAGACTCATCACAAGAAGAATGAGCAAGAAACTTGTGTGTTGCTCTTTTAAATATTTTTTTTTGTTTTCAATTACATACTCGTTATGACAGCATAGCATCAGTACAAAACAGTACAATCATATAGTATTTTTTTTATTTTATTAAGAGAGAAAACATAAATGTGAAAATTATTCTTAGTAACTAGGTACTTATTTACCTTTATATCAGTGTAAGTATTGCGTCTGAGCATCTTCCACTAGTTTAGCATAATCAAGTTTGTAGTTGGAGATTACCAACCTTTTTTACGACTACGTTGAGCAGTCTAGTCTACGTATTTATATTTTTTGGCTTGCCACGATCTACTGGACTGACAGTCGCGATCGACCGCTCGATCGCGACCTGTTGGCCACCCCTGACCAACACTGATAACAAAATTAAATCAATAAAGATTTCTAAGAAAGTAAAGATACGGGGATTTTGTTGACTAAATTTGTGCGTAAATATCCAATTAACAAAGGACTCTGTATGCTAAGTGACTTCTATAGAGAAGAGGTTAAGTTTTTATGAATAATTCGATAATTTTTCGATAAAACACAAACCAAATTGTAAGTTCCAGAATTAGTAATTGCAACATTGTGTAATACGTGCTCTATTGGGTAATAAATTCAATCGATCAATTTTTTTTTAATTATTGATAATGGAATGATGCACCCACTTGCGCTAACGGTTTACGCTAACAGGGCACCAGTGGAGGATGATAAGATGAGCATGAGATCAAATCAGTCAGACCAGGTGGTAAATTACCAGGAATTTACCACGATGGTTTCCAGGGGACATGGTATATACCTTGCAATGGGGTCATCAATCCACATTACTAACAATCCCCTTTCGCCCCGACAGTTACGAAGTTAGATCAGAAGTAAAATATTCAACTTTGATATTGTGATATCGAATAGACCGCTAAATTTAACTCAGACCAATTCTAAAAATAGTTTGAGTTCGTTTAAAAGTTTTCTGTCACTAAGTTAGTACGAAATAGAATAGTTACTCCATCTTTCCATGTTAGTATCATGTTCATCATGAGGCATAGGCCTCTTAGATTATCGTCGCGACTGTAATCCAAGATGGGGTAATCAGAGATAATATGAAGGTAGTACAAGTACAATGTATCACATTGAATGATATGCCATCTCGCCGAGCATACCAAGGCTGCTTTTTAAGTCGTGTCCTTTGCCAACCTCACGCTATTATTAAAAAAAAATCATCTTTTTGAATTTAGAATTCGAAAACAAAGGAATGTTTTGAGATTGATCGGATAGTTATAAATATATAATATACTAGCAGATCCGGTCACGCGTTGTGGCTAATAATAGGCAAATAATTTGCAATAAAATAATATTGCGACTAAATACTTTCAAATAGCACACAATGTGCAAATCAAATTTGCAATCAGTTCAGTAGTTTAGGAGTCCATCGCGGACAAACAACGTGACATGTAATTTTTATATATAAAGATATAAATGTGTTTAAATTAGTACCATTTAGTACCCCACCTGAGTGAGAGCGTCATTAAACAAGGGACGTAATTGTGGACTCGCTAAGGTACATTTAATTAACCACTAAGCACCTCTGAGGGTCTCAGCTACTGTTTATGTGCTTGTACTTTCTAAGTTGTTAATCTGAGAAAGGATAATTAGAGTAATTGAGATTTTTTTATGTAATTGGAATGAGAAGACATAGACAGCTATGTCAATGTCTATGTTTTTTTTTAAATTTCAAAATATTTTAATGCTGTCCGACGCTGCGGGCCTATACAACTTCACCGAACGATAGAGGGCGAAAGCAGATGGATTTCCAAACCAGCGGTAGGACTTATAGAGCGGCTAAAGGCCAACTCATGTCTAACGAATACGACTTTAACCTGAGGGCACTGCTCCCTAGCAGGTTCAAACCCCCTGGGTTTGAACCTCGACTCAGGACGTCGAAATTTCAATCCCCGTTTGAGTTGGACGGGAATCGATCGGAAGGCCACGGTAAGCAGTAACCGTCGCCTATGCATTATAATTGAACAGCACTGTAA